CCCCCCGCGCCCCCCGCCCGCGCCCGCGCCGCTCGCGCATGCGCCCCCGCACCCTACGCCCACCATCAGTGTCAGCTCTGCACCCGACGATGATGAGGCCGGTTCCCCTCCTGGCACCGCCTCGCCTGACGAGCCGCGATCTATCGCGCACTCGGATGAACCTTCGTCGGTATTCGCATCGGCAGACGCGACTCCCACGGAACCGATGCGACCCGTGTTCAAGGGTGAAGAGCGATCCGCGCCCGTCACCGAAGGGCCCATGGCTCCCACAGATCCAGGTTGTGATAGCTCAAAGGAAGAGGCGCCACACGAAACCGTGAGAATTCGGGCCGTGTTGGAGTCAGTGGTGTGCGCACCCTCGGTAGAATCCTATGACGACTCGTCCGCTTCGGGCGCCGTGTCAGACTCCAGGGATTCCGACCGAACGCGATCGTCTGAAGACGACGTAGTATCGGTGCAACGTGTGCTGTCCCGCGAATCGTCAACGATAAAAGAAACCAGTCCGGCCTCAAGTAAAGATACAAGTAGCAAAATCGGCGATCTTCCGGAGAATACGTCCGAGAGTGACGATACTACGACAAGCTCTGTTCAAGTAGTGGAGTCGACAAGCGAAGTGGCAAATGCGCCGGTTAGTGTGTCGTCGAGCGCACTGGTGCTTGTACCGTCGAGTACGCTGGGGACTGTACCGAGCACGGCGGGGAACACGGTGCCGAGCGTGGCCCAGTCGGAGCTGGTGAAGACGGCCGAGTGTGTGGCGCCGGAGCCTTGCAGCTCGGCGACGGTGGAGCCGACGAGTACGGCGCCTACAGGCTCGGCGCCGCGCTCGCCCGTAGCGCCGCTCGCAGTCTGCGAGGATATCGGGGTCGACGACGACAACGTAGACAAAGTGCCTTCGGCGCCACTGCAAAGGGTCTCGGAAGATTCCAAGGCGGCGTCCGACGTGGACGCGACGAAAACTATTGCTCATAAAGACGAACTGACGTCGGTCTCTGATACCAATATTGTTAAGCGTGATAATAAAAGCGGCATCGGTGAGCGTAAGCAGCGGAACGACATATGTCCATGGGAGGACGAGTAAGTACTCGTGAGTTTAGTTTGTGCATCGAATGCCGCGGTAGTTTGTGTATGGATGTAGTTTCGATTATGGGATGAGTTCCACGCAGAAGTCCGCGTGTGGTGCCTCCGGTAACCGATGCATTTGGTAGACAAGTATTATATGTGTTGTGTTCTCCCAGTTTGAGAGTTTCGTGGTGTAGGCGTAGTGTTACAAGTGTGTCGTACCTGTATAGACATGCTTCAACATGATGTAGAGTTACTGCATGAAAATTACCACCAAGTTACAAAAGTTATGTTCACATACTTAGTGAAATGATTTCCAAAATCACGCACAATTTATTAGAGTTATTCTGTTACTGTATCTAACTATAATTTTATTCGCTTTATGTTTTTTTTTATTTACTTTGAACTTTATTTGTATATAGTGACAAGTATGTAGATATCAAATAAAATTAAATATTTTTTTATGTCCACTATCATTTTAGTTTGTATTTTTTTCGTAGTGATTGGCACGCAGACTCACCATTATCCAATTATTCCACGTTATTGTAGTGCCTAGTTCATTTTTTATTTCATCGTAAAGCAGATTTGGTTCATACATCACTACCAAGCAAAACTCTTATTATAGATCTCGAAGACGCTAACATCTATGGAGCGAGATATAGATCATATAATATTGGCGATTTCCAATGGAAATAATTTATGCAAAATGTATACGTAAGTTGCTTTTTTAGACTATTGTTAGTGTGTCCTGCTTCGATGGGGATCTAAATATTTTGGTCGGCACTTCAGATGCTCTAGTTACAAGGAAGATGTGCGGAGTGCATGAATTGTAGGGAGAGTTATATTATATCTAAAGCAAACTAGGCAAGTGCCTGTGGCGCCAGGTTAAAGAGGTGCGCCTCGAGACGTACGTGCCAATTGCCTATAGAGTGGCCGAGGCGCCAAAAGAAATTAGGGGCGCCTATGAGGCTTGCCAGAGCACTCCCTAGGTTTAATCCACCTTTGATTGTAGGGCAGTGGTTGTGTGCCTCTGCGAGGTAGGTTAATGTGCTAACATTATTCTTTTTTCTTTTTCAGAAATTCCTGCGAAAGTGATGCTCCATTTGTTAAAACTTACGCAACGCTCGGTTATTTATAATTTTTGTAGGCGAATATCAACAATATTTTACGATGTCAGGGTTATAGTATGATATGATATTTAATTTTTTAACTTAGACCCTATGTTTTTAATTATCACAGAAGGAGTTAGACATTATTATGTAATTATATGAATATTTTAAAGTAAATGATCGTTAATTATTAGTAAAACAAATGGGTTTTATTTGATATCGCAACATTTGAGAATATATTTATGTAAGTGGTGCATAGTAGCTGTTAGGGATGTTACGAAGGTTTTATAGTCAGTAAGTAGGTTTCTGTTTGGAAAGTATGACACAGTCGCTGCGAACACAATACTGCCAGACCATCGTGATGCGACCTACAACACGGCATCGCACCTGGCTCCGGGCAGCTTACCTCCTTCCTCCGGACAACGACAGAATAACGCAGACAATATCACTTGCCTTCATCTAGCTTCATTAGCAAAAAATAAATAATTGTAGGAACTGAATATTGTTTTAAGAATAACACCATACATTAAAAATCTTCCTCGGTGGTTTAATGTCCAATTTTAGGTCCAGCATAAATCGAATCTTCAATCCTTCTAGTTTAGTCTGTTACAGGTATAGCCTGAATTCTAAAATGGCCACTGGATTGACATTTGTCTAAAAAGCAACAAATTCATGGCACTATTAGAAATACTCCAATCATTTGAAATTCGTAACCATTTAAATAAATGCTACTGTCGTCACCGACAGGTGACTAAGACATTAGTTACCAAAGCATTTGTTTAGTTCGATTAACACAAATATCTATAAAACATGTGTTATTGAAATAGCTCTCCAACGGGAAAGACATTATTTCTTCAAGACGCACTTTATTCAAAAATTCAACAAAATTACTAACCTACATAAAATTCGTTTGAGGGTTTAGAAAGCAAGATTTTAGAAGTAAGATTTAGTATAAGTAAGAAGTAGGTAAGATAAGAAGTTGGAGACATCACAGCAGTGCCTGAACCAGGGCAATGCACGGTATCCAGCCATCGTGCTCGTCCGTCCAGACTTCACGACAGACGCCGTGGCCATTGACTGCCAGTTTCGTAGCCATGGGACAGAAAAGGAACCCTTGTTAAAGCCCCCATTCTATGCGCTTCTGGCCCCAAAAATCTGCCTCCAGGATATCCGCGTATTAAAAGCCAAAGCACTGCCTTTGCGCCTTCTACGAGTAAAGGATCGGCCTTCTCACGATCCAGCTTAACGGTCTCCTTTTGAGACCATACCGTCTCATAAAAGGAGGCCACGTTACTCCAATTTTCTATCTCTGCCAGCTTTGCACCAAACTACGGCTGGCCTCTACCAGGTCTCGTCCGATCCTGGCAACCAGGATCTACCGGCTCAGAGACCCACAATGGACACTCCGCAAGCTTGTGCTGTACGGAATCCAGGTCACCTCCAGAATGGTACAGAATGCCATCTCGAAATAATTTTTGGAATAGTCTGCACCTGATACTTTTCGAGGATCACTCTAATGGTTTCGTATATGTTCGTCTAGCCTTTACTTTACCAGCCTGACCATTCATATTCCTATTCATAAAATTCTTATAGTTACGAATCCAAGGGAAAGTAGAAAAACTAAATATCACTTAACATTTAATTAATACAACAGAATATTATTATTTTCATTAACAACTAAATAAACACATCTATACTAAATACATCACCAATTCGATTTAATAATACTGGTATAACAATGTCATGTGCTTGCATGTAATTTTAGAAGTTCATTTGTCACTGGAACCGTTTGTGGGGTCACTTAACACATTTAGTTACTGCGAAATCTATTCTAAAAGACTGACGATCTTACATTACACCTATACGCAAAAATATACTCAAATCTCTTTAGCTGTAAACTTAGTTAAACGTACAAATAGTTAAAACACTTCACGACAAACGCCGTCAGCTCCCATCTTATAACCAGGTGGACAGTTGGTAGGAACTGTGATTACATTCCTCATTGTGATTTCTCCGGGAGCTGGAGTCTCCACGGTGTTGCTGTCACCACTTGAGGTCTTGTTTTCAGCCTCTGCTGCAGCAATAGCGTCGGCCTTGACCTCGGCGACCTCGTCAGGGTACACAATGCGATCAGAGTCAGCCATTCTGTAACAGATAATAAAAGCAAGCGTTTATAACAATGGAAATATACCAATCGAAGCAAATATTTATTAGGTACTTCTATCAATAACCTAAATTACAAACAAGTATTAATAAATATCATAGCTTTGATTACTTTATATTAATTAAGTATGCATTTGATAATAAACTTAAAATTATTCGTCAATGAGTTTTATGTTTGAAAGTGAGTACAAAGACGAATTAATAAGCAGACTTAAAAGAATTTAAATAAATACTCACATTAATAGAAGGTATGTATGCTTCTTTAGGTATTGAAATCCGAGGGTACAGTAAGTTGGCCGCTCGCACGTTTACGCTTATATACAGAACAGGATTGTATGTGAAGTCAGGACGCAAGCAGCTGTATAAATAAGTCTGGATGTTATCTGTAGATAACTTCGCAAATGCTATGATTCATCGACGTCCATAGGATACACTTCAAAATATGTTATTGTGTTTTTCCCTAGAAATCTCTTATCAGTACTTTTACGTGTAAGTATCGATGACGCCACGCGATCTTTGTATAGTATCTTTATTATCCTATTTCCTAGCACTCCTCAAAATACTGTTTGCATATATATTTTACCTAATGGGCCCGACAAGTTCGGTAAGTTCAAAGGATCCTAGATACCTAAATAAAGGAAAAAAGTTTCAGTACCGAGTAAAATTACCGTAAATTAACTAATTTCATGAGCAACACTCTGAATTTATGAGAATTGCAGCAAAATTAACGATATGCATATCTAATCTATATCTATACTAATATTATAAAGAGGAAAGATTTGTACCTATTTTTGTATGTTTGTAATGAATAGGCTCAAAAAGTACTGGGCCGATTTAAAAAATTCTTTCACCAATAGAATGCTACATTCTTCCAATTTGACATAGACTACATTTCATTTTGAAAAATGAAATGAATTCAATGTAACCGAAGGTGTAGAAAAATGAGTCTTAAAATGTCTTTCGTCGAATGCGCTGCTGAAACCATTCGCGATAGAACAAAATAATGTAATGTACAACAATATTGAAGAACATCATAATGTCTACAAAAAACTTCGCGGTAGCATATGTCCAACTATTGTAGTTATATCACTACAACAATCCAAATTTCCAAAAATAAATGATTGTCTACCCCGTGCGAAGCCGGGACGGGCTGCTAGTTGTTAAATAAAACACATTGTAACAAAGTTATGCAAACGTTAAAAAAATTGATTATGAGCTACTGAGTGAGTTCATTGGATAATAGGGACCTTTCTATAACATTATTGTTCTTCTACGTCTGGTACAAGCCCACAAACAGAAAAGAAAGTCGACATTTTTCTGCAAGTTGTTAATAAAGAGATACCTATGAATGTAGACTGGATTTCCGTGGCATACCTAACAATTTATTTAAGCCCAAGCAATTTATCCCCAGAGCCCAGAGGGTAGGCAGAGGTGCACATTACGGCACTTAATGCAACTGTACATTTGAATGTCATTTATTACAAATTAACCAAATCATTTTTATAAACAGAAATTGTATAAAATTCAATTGAGTGTTTAGGTTCAGACACACACAGCTGTGCCTGAACCGCGCGAATACAGTTTTGAGATTGAAGTCGGCCATGTGAAAATTAATCAAGTGCTTATTACGGTCGCGTTTGTTATTTTCATATAGGTAAACAGAAGACAGACTGTTTTCACGGTCAGTGCGATGGCTAGGCGATTCCCGCACAGAACAACTCTTTGTGTGATCCACAAATGTCTCAGGTCTGGGTGTGATTTGTATGTGAACTTGTATATTTGTAAATGCACCTACGACACAGGAGAAAATCCTAGGGCGGAGGACTTAACGGGTTGCCGGGACTCCTGCTCGAAGGGCAGGAGTAGGAACGGGGTGGTTTTTAGTCAGTGAGAGTCTGACACTCCCTCCCACCTCACCCAGGCGGGAGAAGTCATTCGATATTTTTCCCCCCTTAAAAAAAGGTAGGGCAAGGTTTATTTAGAAAAAAAATGTGTAATGCCAGCAGCGCCGTTGGACGATTGAAAATATAATAAAATAACAGCTAGCATTTTAATTTGAAATCTCTACAATGACCTAGACTTTTGACTGATACTTCATACAATTTTTTTTAAAGGGATAAGCCTATCACAGCCTCCTAAAACCGCTACAAGTCCTGTATGATGGGATCTACAGTAGTACTTGGCGACTGGGCTTCTCCTAGTTGGGCAGTCTCTTTTTGTGCCTTTATTTAGGCTTAAGTCATTCATACACAAAAAGAGATATCAGTTAAAATCTTTGTTTATTATTTTCGGTCGTAAGTGTAGCTCGTTTCTTCAACTCCTGTGACCAGCACGTGCACACGATATGCTGCGCAACGAATAATAACATAATCTATACATCTATACATATAATGAAACTGTAGAAGTGCAAATTCTGTACAATGAAAATATTAAAGAAATAAATGTTACTAGATATGTACAGTGTGCAAATGTGTAATTAAAAGAAGGAACCACCGCTTACCATCAGGTGGGCCGTGTGCTTTTTTGCCACCGTCGTGCCATAAAAAAAGAAAGAAATAGCATTTTAATTGGCAAATGGCACATAAACAAAGATTATGAAAAACAAAAAATACAGATACTTACATAAATACATAATATTAATAACTAATAACAAACATAAAAGCGTAAAGAAAATATAAACAAAAAATCATCAAAATATAAGAAAATAATGTACATACAATACGAAACAAAGCAATAAGTTTTTGATATAAAAAAAATGTCTATCTGTCGATTAGGTTGAACCGATATTATAAATGTGAAAATATGTGAGTTTGTGTGTATGTTCGTTACTCAGTCACATCAAAACGGCTGAAGGAACCGGGGTGAAATTTGGAACCGAGGTAGATTATGGTCTTAAGTAATACATAGGTCACTTCTTATCCCTGGAAACGTGGGTGAAGCCGTCGATAGGAGCTAATATAATATTATATGTCCTACTCCTGTGTGATAAATGCTCAAGTGTGTTTTAAAATTTAAAAAAATCTATTCTGCCCAAAAACTTCTAACCATACGGATCAGGTAAAGCTTACATCCTACCTACTTGCAAAAAACCAACTGCAGAATCTTCTTCAATAACAAAAAACTAACATATATAACGCTCATCAGCATATTTACATATCCCATGCTTATAGTAAGTAATCATTTTCACTTATAATAAATGCGAAAGTAACTCGTTGACTGTCTGACTGTCTCTTTTACATACCTAAGCCATTGAACTGATTTTGATGTCATACCACGTGATACCACGGCCTCATAGGAAACCGACGTGAAGCAACGCTTGCGTTGTGTTTCGTCGTATGAGTGAGGTTACCTTCCGGAGGCCCAATTACTCTCCCCTTCCCCAATCTCCCCAATCCCTGAATCCCCAACGATGCTCAAACTCCTAATCCCCAAAAGGCCGGTAACGCACTTGTAACGCCTCTGGTGTTCCAGGTGTCCATGGGCGACGCCGATTGCTTACCATCAGGTAATCCGTGAGCTTGTTCACCGGCTTATGCCAATATGCCATAAAAAAAAACATTATCATTATCAACAGTCATTAAATGCGCACTGCTGAGCAAACTCTCTTCTCACACGGAGAAGGTTTGAGCATTAATTACCACGCTTACTGAATGCGGGTTGGCGATTTCAAATTTATAATTAGGAATTGTAAGCCAAGGTATATCTTTATGATATGATATGAAACTATATAGTTTAAGACCCGAAAATATACATAGGATACTGTCGTGGACACAAATTGGCTAGTGTATGAAAATTGACACAAACAAGTCGCAAAATTATATATTTTTTAAAAATAAATATCTTTGGCAGCGACAAGTCTCGCCCGATCCTGGCAATCGCGACCCGCCGCGCAGAGATCTACCCTGGGCACTCCTCGGGCTTGTGCTATACGGAATTCAGGTCACTTCAGCAGTGTAAGGAGCGCCACCTAGTATGATACTTACGTACTTCATAGCTTCTATAACATTGTTAAGTTGTTAAGGATGGTTATCCCCATACTATTCGAGAATACCTCCAATAGGTTTGCAAATCAGGGTTGCCCTATGACACTAGCCAGCTTTATCATTCATATACCTTTTTTAAGCCTTTTACTGCTGACAAAAACTGTAAAAGGCGAATCCTCCGCTAGCGTCGGACATCATTGTCCTACACGGCATCCAATCCATAATATTCTTATAGGTACAAATCCAAAGGAAAGCAGAAAAATAAATGATATACAAAGTGTCACTTAATATTTAATTAACAAAAATTACGATTTTCATTAACAACACAAACAGACAATATCATAAAAACTTAAATACTAAAAAATACATCACCAATTCGATTTCAATATAATAATACTGGTTTATGCAATGGTGCAATGTGTCTATGCTTGCATTTAATTTTAAAAGTTTTTTGTGATGGGGTCTGTTAACATACTTTTAGTCTTACATTATACCTATACGCAAAAATATGCTCGACTCTCTTTAGCTGCAAACTTAAAATAACGTACAAATAGTTAAAACACTTCACGACAAACGCCGTCAGCTCCCATCTTATGGCCAGGTGGACAGTTCGTAGGAACTGTGATTGCATTCCTCATTGTGATTCCTCCGGGAACTGGTGTCTCCACGGTGTTGCTGTCACCGCCTGAGGTCTTGTCTTCAGCCTCTGCTGCAGCAATAGCGTCTGCCTTGACCTCGGCGACCTCCTCAGGGTACACGATGCGGTCAGAGTCAGCCATTCTGTAACAGATAATAATAAAAATATAAGCACACGTTTATGGCGATGTAAATATACCAATCTTTGTATTCGCTTCACTATACCAATTGACGTGTCGTTTGTTCAAGCAAGTTTATTTAGGTTATTACACAATAATTTAAGTTTATCTTTGCGTGGATTTCCAATTTATATATACTTACGTAGTACATACTCCTAAGTACGACATCGATACTGTCGTCAATCATCGATTATAGCTAAATATTTAAGTGTAGATAATTATCATTCATTATAACGCAACACCAAAATTTTCCACCAAATTTTGGTGTAAAAAAAAATTCTCTAGCCTGTATAGATAGATTTTTAATAGGTATAAAAAATACTATAATGCAGATCGAATAAAAGAAAAACAGTTTGTATAAAAAAACGTGTCGTCACGACCGCTAAGCTCACGAAGGCCAGGCCAGCCTTGAAGCAGACCAAGAGCACTGAACTCACTGCAGGGGCCTCATATAAGTCTAATGATATAATTTGGTACCAAATATTTGATTATGAAAGTGCCTAGTATTTGCACTAAACTTGTATGTAGGCCCAAAATAGGCAACTAAAGATAAACCGCTGCACACGTAATCCCAATTGTGAAATATTTTGTTACATTATACACCTATAATATATCAATGAACTAAACCACTGTGCAAAATAGAATATTTATCGCTATCACTTAGCAGGATGTATAAATTTATTTATTTGTTGAAATTTATTATCATAACCTAATGGTTCTTTGCTAACTTTTAAGTTTGAAGTTTAATACCTTATTTTAATTTTACACAGCCATTAGCTGAAAAAAGATGAAAAAAGCTAAGTAGATACATTATACAATTGTATTTGGTACTTACATAAAAGGAAGGAAATCCGAGGGTAAGATAGTCACACACACGCTCACGTCTGTATACAAGACCGGACTGTGCGGCCAGTCGGCCGGCAAGCTGCTTTATACTAGTTTCGTATTCATTATCAGCAGACACCGTCGGGGGCACGCCATGATTCACCGGTATACTCAGAGTTCACTTCAAATTAAATAGGTATACGTATTCTCCCAGAAATTTGTTATCAGTATGTTACGCATGAATATCGATGAAGATATTTTGCGATCTATATCTATAATATTCTATTTCCTGACACTCCTCAAAACTTTGCATGTCCGAATATGCTTCAGTGACTAATTTATCAACTGTAAAATGACTATTAACTACATTATTCTATGAACTGGGAATTTTAGTAAAATGCGTTAGCAGTGTTATTTAATATATTATGTATACGTAAACAAGGTCTACTATGAAAGAGAAACCACAACAATAAATATAAAATAGAACGAAAATTTATGAAAATAGGAGTTAGCTATGTGAAGACTGGATTTACGTAAGATAATTTTTTTTATAATAACTATCGTGGGACATACTAAATTTACTAAAAATCACTGGTTACTCACGTGAAAATGTTAAGAAAATCTGCACTAGTTTCGAACTACAGCGTCGCGCAGCCTACATATCGCTGCGACCGCGCACGCTGCTCATGAGGAAGAACCCCTCTGTGGTTCGAAACTAGTAGAGCTATCTCAGGATATTCACGTGAGTAACCCATGATTTTTAGTTGACATAAAATTTATTTATTTCAAGCTAGGTTTTGCCCGCTACTTCGTCCGCGTGAAATAATCGCACTTCCGGCCGAATTTAGACTTTCTGATGTGTCAGAGTGTGTGTAACTTGGGTGTCTTCAAGTTCCAAGTAAACGCGAATACGCCTGTGTGAATGAAAATAAAAATATGAATGTCTATATATTTTTATTTTACTATTTCTTGTAACAAATAAAACATTGTAATAACAAAAGCCAATAATAGGAAGATACAATGGCCAATCTTATTAATAAATAACTTTTAGATAGACAGTAACTTGGGCAGTCCCAAGAGAAGCATAATAAAATAAAAATACGTGATATATTACATTAACACGTTAAACGTCATGGGGGTCACCGGTGACCGACGTTAGTGGAGGATTTACCTTCAACAGTTTTTTATTGGCAGTCAAAGTCTTAAAAGCGGTCACCGGTGACCGCGACCTATTGTTCTTTAATTGTGTCTATAAAACCGGTACTCGACGAGTTAAATGCCTCGTAAGAATTAGTAATAATATTTTTGTGCAATAAGTGGGTAATGGTGTATAGTAATATACGTATACTATTTTTAGTATTTTTGTGGTACAGGCCGACAAAACGAGCAGACGGATTAGCAGACAGATCGCATAATGATGATCAGTTACAAATATTTATTTATTTAAAACGCTTCGTGTACAACTGTTTATTATAAGATGGACTTATTGCCGCGGGCAATATCTTAGGGTGATGCAGAGATGAGTATTACATACGAAGAGTTATTAAAAAAAAGAAATAAAAACACATACATGTATACTGCAGATATACATATATAAATATATTATTTTGTGTTTTTTTACAATTACCTCCATGGTATAAATACCCATATATTATAGTATAAATAACTAGACTTAACATAAAGATATATGATACACTCTTAAATATATTATACCTACAGAGCGGGGATGTTAATTGAAACACAAGTCATTGGTACTAATACATAGAATTATTTTCCATATAATCGCACGCACAGTAATATACAAACAAATAAAACAAACACAGTAATAAATAAAACAAAAAGATCAAACAAATGCCAGTGTAATAGGAACATAATTTTTAAACATTGGTTATCTACTCACTATCACATCAACTATTATCACTGAATTAATACAATCCCAAAAACGAAATCGCCATCAAACGTTACAGTTTGTCGAGTTTATATTCAAAATTTGATTGAATTTTATTTAAATAAATACGACATATAATAAAATCGTAGGAATCACTATTGAGATTACAGTATTCTGTGAGTACATTTAATATTTTTTTAAAAAGCATATTTTAGGGCGTGATGTAAACATCGAAGGCAAAAAATAGTTTTAGAATTTTTGTCTGTATTTATGTCCGGGCTAAACTCAAAACGTACTACGTGGATTTACTTAAAATTTTGCACGAACATTACTAGGAGGTCGTGTCAACATATTGTCACGCTATCACCTATAAGGGAGGAGCTGTAAATCTCAATCACTATTCCACGTCAACGAAGTCGCGGGCACAGCCAGTAATTACAATAACTTTATTATACAGCTCTTTACCTATTATAATGAAACTAGCTTCGGCCCGCAGCTTCACCCATTCCCGTGGCATAAAAGTTATACGTATATTCCAGAACATAATCTATCTCGGTTCCTTCAGCGGTTGTAACAAACACAAACTTAAAAACGCATTTATAATATTAGTAAGATTTTGTTACAGAGGTCCATGACCTCTAGATGGTTGATGCAATGAGTAAAATTAATGTAAATAAAAAAAATCATGCCCTGCTCCTAAATCACTGATGTATATTTATATGTAGACTGAGAAGATCAGTTAACAATCTATGCTTTATTTATTATCCCTGAATCCCCAACAATCCTCAAACTCCTAGACCCCAAAAGGTCGGTAACGCACTTGTAACGCCTCTGGTGTTGTGTCCTTAGGCAACGCCCATTGCTTACCATCAGGTGATCCGTTTACCAGGTTATCCCATAAAAAAAAATATCGCATTAACATCCCCACTCTATACAATGACAGAAAAGCAGAATGACCCTTTTTTGAAACTTTTTTTAAAAACTAGAAACTGGCAGCGGCAGTGCTTCCCACAGACAGGCAGCTCAGCAGAAGAGGTTTCTAAGTCCATCTGTCGAATAAACAGGAGTCTTTAATAACTTAGTTTCTGATGATCTTATGGTTTTGTACCTTTAAAATATTGTATTAAAGTGTACTTTAAAGTTAAGAGATGTTTTACAGTTTAACACAATACATGTAGCTGAAATAAGTAGTCAGAGTAGAATTCATAGGAGAGCTGGATACAATTTTTGGGGAGGGATTTGGCAAGCTTAACACTGAATACCTGACTCGTAAGTAATACAATTGAATAACAGTAAAATTATGAAACAATAATAAACTAAAATAAAATTTTATGAAACAATATTTCTTCTTAATATTGATACTTTATTTTTTAGATCCACAATCAAAGCCACATTTTAACCAAAAAATTCAAGGATTTTTATTTTCTCCCCACTTTAACTCAATGTGGTGTAAAAATAATTTGGACATGCCAAAGGTATGAGACAAGTTTTTAGGTCCCAGCCCCTACCCAATAATTGGCGCCAGCTCTCGAACTAAAACAAGCATCAAAGGACACGCAGTTGTTTGTTACCAGTGGTTATCGATGCGCCTTAGATGTTCTATTTTCTTATATTAAAAATGAATCGCAAAATGCGGTGCTAACCGCAAATCTCGAGAACTGCTGAATAGATTTCGCTAATTCTTTTTTTAAATTTGTTATTGTTACGAGAAGATTTTTAGTAAAAATAAACAAGGCTGCACAGAAAAAAAAACAAGGCGAAACAAAGTTCGCGGCGTTCACTAGTTACAAATATATAAGTAATGCCTTACACCACTCGACAGGTACCGTCACAGGCCATGGTCTCGTCATCCTCACAGTTGGCGAGAACTTGGATCATGCCACTTGATCCTTGTGCTGTTTCCTCTTCTATGGTGTTGCAATCTTCATCTGAAGTCTTCTTTTTAGTCTTTTCTAGATCCATAGCATTCTTTTTGGCTGCAACAACCTCTTGTGCGTAGACAAGAGGAATACCGTCAGCCATTCTATAGACAAACAACAAATTTATATACTAATAAAACCTAAATTTTATTAAACAGCTATCTACACTCTACATACATATATTATTAATACGCTAAATAAATTACAGAAGGCATTTGTGTTCATGCCATATCTAATTTGAAGAATTCAAATTATTTTAGCCTTATTGCAAATAAACAGAGCCGCCAAGTATAGTTGAATCCGAGCGTACGGCGCATCGCGTCCCGCGCGCGCCCTATGAGCCATCAAACTACCACAGATGGGGACCAACAGGGCTGATACGGAGCCGCAGAAGATTTTACGGTTGCTCGAAGTGCAAGAATAAGAACAGGGTGGTTTTTAGTCAGTAAGTCTTTCACGGCGGGAAAAGTCATTGGATGATTTTCCCCGCTCAAAAAAAAAGTATAGTTGAATGATAGATAGTGACTGCAAATCGGAGTGTGCACATCTGCATGGTGATCTAAATCAGAAAATCAGCGCCGCGACTCGAGCCATCGTGCTCGGGCCACGATATTTTAGCTGAACACCGGCCGTTTTGCGTCGTGTTTCTTTTATTTATTTATTTTGTATCTGTAATTTTTTGTGACAGTGCAAATAAATTGTTTTTATTTCTTTCTTCTTTGTAAGTTTTATTTTTGTTCTTATCTAATATATTTATATCAGATAAGACATAAGAACAAGAAAAAGTGTTTCGTCACTATCTTATGTCCCGAAGGTCAGACCAGCCTTGAAGAACACTGAACTGGTTCGTAATATAACGATCAGGACCTCACTGCCAAAGTCCACACTTTTTTCGTATTTTACTAAATCCTTCGCCGCGTCGTTTTACCATTGATTACCGCATTGCACTATGATAAACCCGGAGGCTCAATAATTATTGGGCTATTACTAAAGTGTTTACACTGAGCGGGAAATTAATATCTCTATTAATAAAAATGAATACCTATTTCTTTGGTGATCGTATTATGCGTGAACAGCGGGACCGATTTCGCTAATTCTTTTTTTCTTGTGCAGCAAGAAAGGCAAGGTGAAGGTTCTTATTACAGAAACTTTAGGGCCGTGGGGCCCAAGTGCACATCTTCTTTACAAAGATATTGTAAAGAGGATGGTTGACACTTCAGGTGATCGAAGGGCTGGCTTCTACCTTGGACAAAGGTTAAGCATTGCCATTCAACGTGGTAATGCTGCCAGTCTTTTGGGCACCCTACCTCACGATAATGATGAGGAAATTTTTTTTTTTGATGCCTTATTATAGCTTATTTATTTATTACTACCTTTTTTTTTAAGGTGTAAATATTACAGAAATGGTTCAATTACTGACACCGGGAAAGTTAGGAATAAATACCCGCGCGATGCAGGGGAGTGCCGCTTGTAGCATGTAAATGTCTCAGTCAAATATAATTTTCGGTAGACAGACTGACAGACTATTATTTACTACTAGCTTCACTGACGGACAGACTGACAGACTATTATATATCTCATATTTGTTGACGTTTCGAAAGTACCAAATTATGGTTTAATTGAAATAAATGCTTTTGAGTTTGAGTTTGAGTTGAGGCAGTTTCCCTTCAAAGAGAATATACACAGGGTTTTTTCTTAAAAGAAATGTTGTTAAACGTCTTATGGTATATGTGACCGGACACTCCGGACAGCTGCTTTTGGTTTTATTCCGTGCAGTTTTTGAAAAATCCGCATTTAGGGCAATAAAATTCCTGGGAAATAAATAATTTTGAAAACCATACGACAATACTTACATTAATATCAATATATGAAATCCGAGGATAAGTTAGTCTTGTATTCCACTTATTGGTATTCTCATTTCACCTGAGAATTATTTCACCCAAGTCACATCTCTCAGGTGGAATCAATCGACTCAAGTGATGTCCCTTATACATATATATCATTAAGCCACCGCACCGGAATAAAATTTCGTGTTGATGCATCTGGGTGATTTAATTCCGAGACAAACCAAGGACACCGCTTGAGTCAAATTGTTTTACCTGAGTGAACTAATTGTGTTTAAACTCATCACTTAATTTTTGCCAAAAATAAGCAAGCAAAGTCGAACAAGAGATGTTTTTTCAATGAAACAAGCTCGCCAAAACCTCCCAGAACTGCTGGAAATCCTGTGCGCCAGGATCTAGGATCTACAGTAGATACAACCATAAAAAGCGTGTGCGGTCCGGTGGTGTCCCAGGGACGAATAACTGTCTTGGTTCCCGCAACGAAGTGAATCAGAAGATATTGTAAGAGGAGAAGAAAAAAATGGAAAGAATTGAAAACACGAGTGGGAATAGGAGTGCTAGGTTGCAATTATGTTTAATATAGTCCAACAACCCAAATAATTCCCAAGTAGAATGAGGACATTAAAAGACTGATGACTGTTGATGAAGCGAAAGAGGTAGGTATGTAAGAATCGTAGCATTTAGCGTTCCATAGTCTCTGCCTACCCCCATGGGATACAAGCGTGTAGTTATGTATGTACCTATGTAGTGTTTGGTTAAATTAGGTTCAGAGTATAATATTTTTATAAAATAGCAACACTTGCTAAATGATGTTCAATAAATAAATATTTCAGTTTAGGTTTTGTTACGCAGAGTATATTTTTATATAATGGCAACACTTGCTTAATGATGTTCATCGATAAAATACTTGCTAGATATTATTAAAATATTATTTTAGTTAGTTTTTTTTTATTTTATTTAAATACTTTTACTGTTATTACAAAAATATCAAAGTTTTAGTTAATTAATAAATTATTTGAATAAAGCTCATTTATGATGAATGTTTGTGTAGAACATGGGAATGTTAGACAATATAGACATTATATAATACACACTTTTGGCGGGAATTGAAAAAGTTCGGTCGATTGTAGACGCTTAGATTGTAAAATTAATTATTAAATAAGTATGTAATTGAAAGTCGTTACGAGTCTTATTTCCTGACCCTAATAGTAGAAAGAATGAAACTTGGGCGATATCAAGGGGATACCACCCAATTAAACTACGGGTTAATTTTTCGGTCAACAGATCACAGCAGTAGAATAAATATGACATTTGACAGTTTTTTGTTTGGAAGAATTGTCAAATATGCAACGTTATTCCGCCGATTTAAGTTATCTGGCGATGCAAACATCAGACCTAAGTGGAATAAACTCTGGGAAAACCCCCAAAATATCTGTTAACTATCAATACTTTTCACGCTACTTACGGCGAGCTATATTTTTGTTTTTGTTAACCTTTATACTATTTCTAGCACTGTTCAAAAATTTAACAGCGCATCTAACAGGGTTGGGAAAACCCAGGATGTAACATAGTTAAATAGTTTAAGAAACAATTTATGTGACTAGAGAAAAAGCTATAAAACCGTCTGAGGCGTCCGTTGTATATGAATACAGGTATACAGTTTTGTAGTTTTACATGTGGGGGCGTAGGAGTGGTTATAAAAATAACAATATTGGACCTCCTTTTTTCAGAGTCTTACTGACTAAGAACCACACCATTAACCACCCCTACTTCTGTCTTACGAGCCGGCGTTCGGTTCCCGAACGTTAGACGTTCCCTAAGGTCCGAAAAGGAGGATCCTCCAATCAGAGGGCTACCTCTTGAATCTGATTCCGATCGATCGACATTGGCATTGTGAAATTTCGTACTCTTGAGTTGCAACACTAGCGTCCATTGGATCCGTATTGCAAGGATATTTAACTCGTCGAGTACCGGTTTTGTAGACACAATTATAGAACAATAGGTTGCGGTCACCGGTGACCGCTTGGTGTTTGACAGTTTAATAAACTAAATGGTATTGAGCTTGGCTTTATATTCCGTACGTAGCATTCAGGATGCTATTTTTACAGCTACGATAGGGGTTGTATACTTTTGACACTGAATAAATATTGAGATTTTATTCGATTGAAATTGCATTGACATTGAGATTGACTTCAAGAGTAAGCATCCAGGCGAGATGATCGTGGCTGGCGGACTTTCTGCCCAAAAGTTGTCTGTTGGGATAATCCATGTTTATTCGCATAGCGTCGCATATCTTCCATCATTTGTCATGTGTCATCACAAACTCATTAACACGTTAAACGCCATGGGGATCATCGGTGACCGGCGTTAGCGGAGGATTTGCCTTCAACATTTTTTTATTGGCAGTCAAAGTCTTAATACGGCGAAACACAAGCGTTGTTTCACGCCAATTTTCTGTAAGGTCGTGGTGTCACTTTAGTTGGGTGAGTATTCGTGGCGAAGCATGGCTCTCCCGCGTAAAATTGAAAAAGTAAACAAGACAAATAATGTATAGTAACTATTCTTCGTGGTCGAAGCAGAAGCTCATTATTATTTATATCCATTAGCACTCGATCAGCCGGTTGGTCGATTTTATTCACTGATTGTTTTTGCACATTATTATGAAATTATCCAGTCATGTTTTATAAAACACAAGTACCTAAATGGCAGTTACCAATGTGTGTCCTACAAACTATTTGACTCGGCTGGACTGTACTTACCTACCAATCTTCATGGTGAACGAAATATTTTGTTCTAAATGTCATTTAACCTCGTCACCGCGTGGCACTGACTGCACAGAGTAATTGACATGTTACATCATACCGGGAATCCCCTGAGAACATTTTCTGTATTGTGACCATTCATATAGTCAATACTTCCAGACTGTCTATAATTCGATATTTACTAGCTTCAACTTCGGCTTGGCCCGCGTTTCCGTAGATTAAAAGTAGGCTATGCGTTATTTCGGACCATAATCTATCATAGTTCCAAACATCCTGATTCCTTTTAAAAAGAGTTTTTCTTAAACTGACTTTTTATATACTAACTCTTATTCGCTGTTAATAAAAGTCGATGACAATAATCGTTTCATAAATCTATAAGTGTAGTACCTAAGTGTGGGAGAGCCATGCGTCAGCACGAATGGGCCGGCTCGACTTGAGTGATACCACGGCGTCACAGAAAACCGACGTAGAAACAACGATTGCGTCGTGTGAGTGAGGTTACCGGACGACCAATCATTCTACCCCGTCCCCCCATCCCTGTCTCCCCAATCCCCGAATTCCCCACAGTCAAATTCTCAGTTCCCAAAAGGCCGGTAACACACTTCTAATACTTCTGGTGTTTCAGATATTGGCGACGATTGCTTACCATCAGGTGATCCGTCTGCTAGTTTACCAGCTTATCCCATAAAAAAACCTGACAGGATACCAACCAAAATTTTAGGCTTACATAATCAAAATTCAAGGATATTTTTAACGAGACTGTCGAACGTTTAAAGATCGTGTCAAGAAATCATACTTATAACAGTTGAGTATTGACTAACGCCTACGCATTACATATCTCGCACGGGGTCAACATTAACGTAAGCTCATTATCCGGCCATTACCTAAATTGTTAAATGATTATGATGATTCACAAAATTGGATCCGATGCGTAATCGTATCGTAGTCTTTTAAATTCGTATTAAAACCTATAGTTACGTACCTTCCGTACTTATTTCTTATGTTGAAATTCTACCTCGAATGACTGCCTCGATGGCCGAGTGGTCGCAAGTGCGACTCGGCAAGGGGTCTCGGGTTCGATTCCCGGCTCGGGTTAAGTATTACTGGGTTTTTTAAAAAAATCTCAGTAGTAGCACAGAGTCTGGAATTGTGCCCAGTATATGGCAATAGGCTCACTCCCTATTACATAGGACTCATAACATAAATAGTGAAAAGTGGGTGTTACATTGTACAGTGGCATAATGTGCACCTCTGCATACCCCTTCGGGGATAAAAGATGTGATGTTATGTAATTTTAAAGTTTTAACATTTATGCGGCCTATCCAAATGTTCTTTTGGTTGGTATTGTTCATCAGGTCATTCAGTCTTGAGCTGATTGGAGACTGACACATGCGTGTTGCCATCAGAACAGGTCCGCTCAAACTGTTGTGGATCTTTCCTCAAAATACCACTGCAGAATCAACTTGCACGGTTCTCGCACATTATATAATCTGTCTGGACTTTAAAAGAGACAATGACCTCTGAGTTTGTTTCGGCGTTTCTTCTCAGAGTAGTCAGTTGGGAAACGCCGGCCCACATCTAGTAAAAATATTACTCATCTAGTTAACCTATTTGCAGGAATAAATATCATTTCATAATTTTCTTTTATCTTATTTTATTTTATTACAGAAGTCATTACTACTTATTTTCTTTTATTAAAACACAATGCATACAGACAAATTGCGTACACATCCAATTAAATAAAAAAATACAATCAACTTAATAATACTGTTATAACATTATGTGACAACGTTATCTGAACTAAAGGTTGCAATATTCGTCAGTTATTAATATAAATAAATGCTTTAAGACTAAGGCATCTTTTACACAATACATTTAACTCACAAGAATCACCCAAGGATGCGCAGTAGTACTACAATTACTGATGTGCTTATCATATAATTACGTACAAATTCTGCCTTAGATCACTTCGCGACAAACACCGTCATTTGACATCTGCTTGTTTTTAGGACAGTTAGGAGGAACTTGGATCATTGAAAAAGAGTGTAACGCTGGTTTCATTAGTACTGGTTCCTCTATAATATTGCTGCCTCCGCCTGAGATCTTGTCTTTAGCTTCTACTGGAGCAATAGCGTCCGTTTCGGTTTCTGCGACCTCCTTAGGGCACACAATACGATCGGTGTCAGCCATTCTATAACAAGCAATAAGTATATATAAGTTAGTAACTTTATTCGTGTTATAGTTAGTGTGTGAAATATAGGCTGATAAACTCATACTAATCTGTTTACTAAATATGTATATCGGGACAGGATTTACCAACTGTTTGATATCTCAGATGCAGATATTAATATCCGTCAGCACTAATTAATTAGTGCACGTAATTTTATCAACTAATGAGGTATCTAATCTCTTCCAAAATTTGTGTTAAAACCCAAAACTTATTAGGCAGCGAAGATAAAATTAATGCACTAAGCAAATTACATAGCACATTTGTATCCATGTCATATCTGTTTAAAGGTATTAAATGTAATACTTTGGCCTTATTTTTGTTAAATGATAGCTATTTTTATAGGAAATCTGATAGTGCCGACATTCTGATTTCACGTGGGAGTGCCGCGCTTCGGTACAAATAGGCTTGACTGGAATAAAACCACGGGCTCATAGAGAACTGACGTGAAACGGCAATTGCATTGCGTTATACTGTGTGAGTAGTAAAAAGGAAAAGAGGAAGACCGCACACACGATGGGACGACGAAATCCTACGTGTGGCTGGAGTACGCTGGCTAGATACAGCAAAAGATCGAGAAAGATGGCAGTGTCTGGAGGAGGCCTTCACCTCAGGGGTTCCCTAAAATGAAACTTGATATAAAATAATATGCTTTCTATTTTTATTTTTTGGAAAGTATATTTCTTTTTAATTGGGAAATACAAGGCTTTTTATTTTTATTTATTTTATTATACTGTGTGAGTGCTGTTACCAACCCCTGAAAGGCTGGCAACGTGCTTGTAACTTTTAATGATATGCGTGCTTATAACGTCAATTGCTATTCAACAGGTAATCCGTACGGTCGTTTGCCGCATTGTGCCATAAAATTATACAAATATCAGATAAAAATTAAAGAAGTTCGTCACAACGACTTATCCCGAAGGTCAGGTTAGGAACACTGAACTGGTTCGAAATACAAAGCTTAAAACCTCGCTGCCAAATTCCACACTTATTTCTTTTTTTTACCGAATTCTTCGCCGCATCGTTTTACTAATCGGCCGAAAGAATTCGATTCTTAAAACACTATGTAAACTCGGAGTTTAAATTAATATAACAAATATTACTTTTAAGAATTTTCCTTCTAATTAAACATAATAAATGTTAATAAACACCATAAAAGTGAAAAGCTTAATCCACTGCTTAAATCTTTGCAATTTTTGAAGGAACTGCATTGAATAAAATCATTTAGGATCCCTATAACCGCTTGATCGCTAAGTTTTAGTAACAACAGGCAGAACGCGCAGTAAGCGGTCCATAGTAACTGGCAAAGTAAGGTGCCCATTTTTTTCGCGCAAGCAATCAAGCGGCTAAGATGTGTAGAAAGCCGGACTTTTCAATACTCACATTACAAGGAAAGAAAGAAAGATAGAAAGAAGCACACACGCTCACTCCTAGATACGAGACAGGACTGTACGTGCAGTCAGCCAGCAAACTACTTTAAACAAGTCTGGTATGGACATTATCAGTAGACGCTGCTCGCTCGTATGACTCACGCATGAGCAGACGGATCGCCAGAAGCAGTTGACGAAGCTCATGGACACCCGCAACATTACTGCGTTGCTGTCTTTATGGGATTCAGGGATTTGAGGATCGGTGATTGGGGTTGGGGGAGAGAATTAACCAGACTCAAACAGTGAAACACCTCGCAAGTGTTGTTTCATACAGGATTTCTGTGAGGCCTTAGCATCACTCCGGTCGTGCCGACCCGTGCGTGTACCGAAGTACGGCTCTCCCTTGGGACACCGAGAGACCCCCGAAATTCATGACCGGATTTTCAATTTTTTAAGGTTGTAGAGGTTTAAAAACTCGATACCGAACTAACCGATACTACCTAAAGGAAACCGATAATAACTTATTTTTACTTTAATCTTCCAATGGGCTGTCGCGATGGTTCCACGAAAAAATTATATTGACTTAGTTTTGTAATATTTCTTCATCACAAAACATGGAATATTTCATGGTTTCCCCAATCCCTTCCTAATGTTTAACTCACTGGAATTCATTTTTTATTCGACACACACACACACATATAGGTAACTGAAAAATTACATACAGGGTGTCCCCGAAATTGACGTCGAAACGATACCACGTGATCGGCAATATTAGAACAGTAAGTATATGTATGAAATATGTGTGTTTCATATTCTGACAACCTACATTTATGTAGGTACATACTATGAGTGTGGAGAATATCTAGATAGTGAGTGCAGTATTCGGCGGTGAACATAAAAAGCTGTTGATCCATATTTATTACTGGCCATAAGCTCCTCACTATCAAACACTTAATGTCAATAAACGTTATAGCAGACAGTGAAGTCTCTGAACCAATTCCGATAATCTAGCGAGTTCGTTGGATTTATCTATTTCCATGTCAGTAAGCAGTTTGAACAGTGATAATTGCTAAATTTTGCAAAGTAATACTTACGAGGGCGTGGTTTTTTATCCTGTTTTGTATTTTAGGGAACATGTATTTGTTAATTCAATATCTGGCCGTCCACGTGTATGTGATTACATATTGATATATAAATTTAGTTGTAAGTGAGCCATGCTTCGGCACGAATGGGCCGGCTGAGTTATCACACGGCCTCACAGAAAACCGACGTGAAACAACGCTTGTGTTGTGTTTCGTCGTGTGAGTGAAGTTACCGGAGGCCAAATTACCCCCCTCTACCCCAATCCCTGAATCCTCAACAATCTTCTAATTCCTAACCCTAAAACGCCAGTAACGCACTTATAACGCCTCTGGTGTTCCCGGTGTCCATGGGCGACCGACTCCGATTGCTTATCATCAGGTGATCAGTCTGGTCGTTTACCATAAAAAAAAACTGTGGCGCACTTAACTTGGTTAGTTAGATTTTAGGATATTTAAAATAAAACGAGAAGTTTCCAGGTGTAGGTAATTACAAGAAAATAAATTTTAGTTTTTGTCTGTTAAAAGCATATATACGGTCGAATTGAGAACCTCCTCCTTTTTTGAACTCGGTTAAAAATAATTTTTATTTCTACTCATAATACGAACTTCCTTCTATATTTAAGAAACAGACGGCAAGCAAACAATTAAAATGATTAATGACATGATTTCTGTTGGCATTATTAATATAATGAAATCAAATACAATCAGATTTATGCTTGTCCGTAACTATCTTAATTGGATAATCTTGCAATTTTAAGAACTGCTAGCAATGTCAACATTATCTTAAATCATAAAAGTTGAAGGTATTGATAATAACAAATGCTATAAAGTTGCAAAACGTTTTATTTATCAAAGCGCGTATTTTCCACATTTCAAGAAAGCAGAACACATAATTGGATTAGATACTTTGTTGATAACAATACTATAAATATAGGAATCAATAAAACTATATCTACATATGTAGATACGTTTCAGTGGTAGCCAGCAATCGAAACATTTATAATTTTGAATGAAGAATACAAAAAGAAAAGAGTACAAGAATATATGCATAGAAAAGATTCTGTAGATAAAAATTTTCAAGACATTTTATCTAGAAAACTATTCCATATGCCCTTGTGGATCTTCTCCTACTGCCGTTGCCCTTGCGTCTAAAATCGTCTCATTCTTATCTGTAGGGGTCGCCACTGCATGAGCTTCACGTTTACCTCTTGGATTGCCTGCAATCAGAGGCCCAATAGTTGTGCTCGATGGAGGAGGTGGCAATCCATAGGTGCAGGTCTGAAATGTTTGAGAATAAATAAGCAGTCAAAATCAAAGCGTTTATGTCAATGGAACAAAAATAGGTACATTTCCAGAAGACAAACATGTAGTAAAAAATAGGTATTGGTCCTCTAGCCAAAGTATTTATTTGTGGCATTGTAAACAACGTAGTTTTTCTATGAAAGGATTATTCTAAGCACGTGCATTCACTTTGTCATTTTGGTACTATCTTATACAATATCTTATCATAGGTACTAATAAGATATTGCAGTACGCAGTTAAATACTTTATTTATTGCAAAATATTGCGTGTTATTCCCCGCTCAGACGAATAGAGGTGACAAACCTTATTTTGCTTTAGGTAGATAATCCCCTGAAGTTAGATACAATATCAGATTCATCAATAAGCCGAATTATTGTCATGTTATATCCGTTGGGTTGTTTTTATTTCGAAATTCTTTAAAGTCCTGCTAATAATTAAAGCCTTAATGTCTACAATTTAATATCTAAGCTGTGGCGCTTGCAATTACTAGATAAGCGAAGTAGATATTATTATTAATAAGTTTTTTATTAAGTGATATGCTGGTTACTACGTAGATATTATAATAAATCTACGCTACCTTTCATATCAATAAAGATGCAGCATGTTGCTCAATTGTTTGACAAATAAAGATTCGTTTCAGCAATACAAATGAAGGCTCTACAGGCAACTAATTACACTGCTATGTATATCAGAAATGGTTGAATAAATGATTGGACTGAAACTGTATTGCTGAGTAATATAATATGTGGTGCAGCCACATATTGCAATGAAATATAATTTGTTTAGAAGCACCCTAATGTTGGCAAGAAATGTTTGGACGCGAGACTTCACGGTGAAGCGACCGGAGTTTCGCGCGCACTGTCAATACGCTGGTGACTGTGAATATTAAATTGACACACCGTTGTCATGTAAATGTTTGGAATATATTCAAGCTTGACAAGACTTCTAAAACGACATGAACATCAACTGTCAAAAATTTTAAAGGAGTCTTGGGAATTTATAATAAACTTAAAAACATTAGTAGCTACAATATGGTTCATGTTCCTGTATTACTTGTTTAGTATATTTGAAATGCAAAGAAGTATTAGTTTAGAAAAAGTAAGTAGAAATATCAGATAAACACTTACACCGATGATCAGTAAAATTAATGTGAAACAGACGAACTTCTGTCCTACCATCTTGGTTGTTTTTTCTGAATAATTTTGAATCAAGTGTTCTACGTTTGCTTCGCTGCAGATAAATGATACAGAGGTGGTGGCAAATGCAAGAAATACTGCTCTTAGACATAATTCACCCGAGTAAGTACCTATTGTTCTTGGAATAATTTGTCTGCGTTGAATTAGTGGCTGTAACATATTTAACCGTCATTAATGTGAAGTATACAATTCAATAGCGATTTTCCTTATCATTTACCGCACCTTGCAATGATAAGACACCTTGGGTTTTGTATACAACTGATGCAGCCAGTCATAATAAGGAAAATTAAGTAACAACTAATAAATAAAATAAATAAATAAAATAAAATTTTATTCATAATTCAAAAATGCAAAATACAAAATATGTTTCTCATACTAATGTTAATCATAAGTGCTTTCCTGCTTGAATTACTACCTATATTACATACTATAAACGGGAATTTTCTGAAATTGTCAATACCCCGAAGTACCGTACTTTGCTATTATGAAGATTCTCAAAATATAAAAACTATATGTTGAATTTTATGAATTCTTGCCTTATATACCTACAACTATAATGTTCTCCATTTATTATTACATATAAAAATAAACCAAGATTTTCAGTAGTATCGATTTATTTAAGTTCTTGTAATCGTCTTAATTCATCTCCAGCGTTGTTATACCCCAGAGAAGAAGGTTCAAGCCATCAGGGAGCATTTTTGAACAATATTGTATAACTATTAAGCCAAAACTATACAGAAGCAGCTCCTTGTCCGAACTCACCCCGCAATCAAGTGATTTCAGTGAGTGACCCATTCGTTAGTATTGATTTCTTTTGAGTTTTCATTATTGAAAAAGACTAAAAAAGCTACTAGTTTACCATTATCATTACATTTCATATAACATTTAAATAGCTTTATTAAATCTTGCCTCAGTTATACCATTCAGTAAAACGACTTACTATTCACAACTTATATGAAGTTCTATATAAAATTTCCAGCTCTTGACTATTTCAAGAGTAGGGTTAAAGCTGGAAACAGACGCAGAGAATCATATTTCAACAGCTGTGGCGATAATAACGTAAACATTTGTGCTCACCATACCGACACATTAATGTCGTGGAATTTCAAAGGAAAGTAAGTACCTCAAAGCCTTCAAACATCAGTTTTTAACTAGTCATCATCATCACATCAACAGCCATTAAGTGCCTACTGCTGAACCTTTGCTCACACGGAGAAGGTTTGAGCATTAATCACCACGCTTGCTCAATGCGGGTTGGCGATTTCAAACTTACAAATTAGAAATTATAAGTCTAGATTTCCTCACGATGTTTTCCTTCACCGTTTGTCAGTGGTGTATAAATAGTCTTGGAAAGTACATATAACTCTTAGAAAAAGTCACATTGGTATTAGCTGTTGGTAAGTTTCGAACCCGTTTTCGGTGTCTTAGACTTCCGGGCCACCACGACATTTTTGTTTAATTTTAAGTAATAATTATTAATAATTAATATTCGGGTTGTAGGAAAGTTATACATACATATATAGCAAAGTTGTAGCAAAAGT